TACTTAACAACCAATGCACAACATTGAAGAATTTGAGATATTTTATGGATAGAATAAAACAAATATTTTTAGAAAAAAATGTTTGTTCTTTTAAATAACACAACTTATGTCATTTCACTCTCACAAAGAGGTGAGACCCCACCTTTCTTTTTTGGTTCACTCTCTCCTCCTCTTTTATATATATCTTTCTCTTACTTAAAATGACATAACTTTATATTTTTTAAAATGACACACATTTTTCCCATATTTTTATGATACTTGTGGGTTATGCATTGTTTTGCATATATAAGCTGGATTAATAAGGGAGGAGCAAGACTTTTTAACTTGGGTTAGTGGTAAAAACTAAAAAAAACTTGAGATTTGTGATATCTTTTGAATTACTTTTTGGTCAGTATTTAAACAATAAAAAATATGTTATTTTTAATATATTGTCTCTTATTTTCTTTCTAGAAAAATCAACTGATTTAAGAGTCTGTTTGACTTAACTTATTTTAACTTAAAAAATACTTAAAAATATGAGCTTAAAAAATAAAGGTAAAATTATTTGGTAATTATATAAACTTTTTTGTTTAATGGCTACTTTAAAGTACAAGGTGAAAATCAATTATCTGGTAAAATAATCTATACAAGCCCTAATCTAATTAAAATTACCATAAAGGGTATATAATTATAAATCTCCATATGTTACTCAAGAAACTTCAGATAACCACAAATTAAATGTTGCTTAAAAATGAAAAAGATAGAGTCTGAAAAATGATAAATATTACTTTTTGATATATTTAAAAATAAAAGTGAATATGTTTATATACTAATAAAACTGACCAACTAGTTGCAAACTAGGAAAAAAAAGTGTGGAAAGCTTGTATTTAGTTATTAACCATTATTAAGAGGGTCGTTCATACTAAAATAAATTAAATTATAAAATACTTTATCTGTCGAGAGAGAAAAATTACAAATAAAAAAAAGTAATGAAATTTTAACATTTTTAGAAAGAGAGGATCGTAATTTATATTAAAAAAATAACACTAGGAAGTAGGAAACTAGGAACGAATATTCCTCTGAGTGAATAAACTTTTCAGCGGTATAATTTATAGGAACATGGGATTATATTATCTCAAAGTGGATCCGTTGAATACGCATTTATTGGCTTTTGCCTGCTCTTCCTTACATTATTAAATATTTGTAATCAGCTGGAAGGGCGGTTCTAGTGTCTGTTTGTCCATTTGTCTTTTAACGGAGTTAATTAAAAATGCCTATTTGTTTTTGTATGGATGGATCAGGCAGTGAATCCATTTGATTTGTGCTTGACGATTGACGATGAAAAATATAAAATTTTGGTTAAATAAGTATGCAGTCCTAGCTCGTTTTCCTATGTTTTTGTTATTTTATTTTTCTGAATTGCACATTTGGATACTACAATTTTTTTTTGAGTTAACTCAATGTTAATTAACTATTTGAAGCGAATTAGTTTCCTCGGTTATCCTCACAAGTTGGCTATAAGACGAAGTGCGGAGATATTTAAACCTCTCTCAAAGTTGAGTTGAGGTGACATCGATTCCGAGACTCGGCCATTTCCTTTTCACTTATTCAACTCCCTTGCTATTAGTTGAACTACTATTATTTGGTACTACAATTTCTTTTAATTACCACTTGACGGCTACGTAGAAGATTTGTTTTAATTCCGGAGAGTCGAGACAACCAAAGTAGGTTAGATGAGTGAATAGACGCAACAAGCGTTATAAGCCACACTCAACTGGGATAAATGCCATTGTTTCAACTTTCAAGAGCTTCGTGATGATTAGAATGCTTCCCTCTCTTTAGAGCGATTCCGCATGCGTTGCCATTTCAAGAGTACAAATTTTAAGTTACCAAAAAAGAATTCACATTCAGTTTATACCGAGTTTAAAGGGGAACAGTGGAAGAAATCTCAATTAATACATTATTGTTGACATCTTAGGATGGGCTGATGCAGAGATGTTTGCTTGAGGGGTAAGGTAATGGAGTGTGTACAGAGATGACCTTATTGAATGGTAAACATTAGGAGGTCGTTTGTATTGAATTTCGAAGAAAGTCTTTTTTATCACTTCTTTATTTTAAAAGTATTTTTTATAAAAGTTATAGCCATTTAGATTTTTAAAAAAATATTTATTTTTTGAAAAAAAATATTTGACTTTTGACTTATGCTTTTTTTAAAAGTTAAAATTTTTAGCTTTTGAAAAAAAAAATTTTTTTGACTTTTTTTATGACTTTTGCTTTTTTTAAAAGCAGTCATCCAAACAGACTTTTTTTCGAGAAGTGCTCTTTTTTTAAAAAAAAGCAGTTTCTGAAGAAAAAAAAAGTTCATCCAAACAGGCTCTAAAGCTTTTATTCGTATCCTGATCATAAATACAAATTAAAAAGGTAAATGCATTATATATTCCTCCCATTCTTAACAGACCAAAAAAAAAAAAAAAAACTCACAGCTAATGTGCATAAATTTTTTTTTGAGGTAAATTTGTTGCATATCAGATATATTTATTTTTAAAATTTAATAAATTAAGATTAAAATATATTTCAAATAAAGTAATGATCAATACAACTTAATTCATATTTAAAATACAAAATCAGCCTACCAAAAAAAAAAAAAATTACAAAATCATTTCGAATGATTTTTTTTCTTTCTTTTGTATCTATGATCACGTGACCTTGCAGGTTATCATATAGCAATTTACAATTTTGATGCCCAAAAAATATTTCAAGGGCCCTAAATCTTTGATTTTCGTTATAACGTCATGGGTTTTAGCATCCCACCAATTGTTTTCCCTTCTTCGTTGCTCGTCAATCATTCCTCTCAATTCCTTTCGTCTATCTTCTTCCTCTCAATTTCATATGATAGAAATTCCTTCCTTCGTTTGAATCTCCTTTGAATAACTTGGCGAATGGAGCAGGCAAGCTTCAGCTTTCACTTTATTGGACTAACATGTGAGGTATTTGTTGTCTGATTTTTGTGTGTGGTAGAGTTGAAAAGTTCTCATGATTTTTTATAAATATTCTCTACATTTTAGGAGTTAATGTTGAAAATGTATTATGCTTCTCAGCTCTTGCTTGGAGATACTGTGCATCTATCTAGGGAAAAAATTTGGGATTTTTGGTTTTCTTCCTGGTTTTGGAACAGAGTCTCTGGTGTGGGTGTGCCCTGTATCTGGCAATACTAAAATGAATTAGTGTTATGAAATATGCTAACACCAGTACACGATTGAAGTCACTACAATGGAAAGAGGAATAAGGGAAATGCTTACAAAGCATGTTGCACTGACTAGATTACATGCAAATGGACAGAAAGGAAATTAAAGAAAGAAAAATTGACACCTAAGTAATGGCTACTCAGAAGTATTCAAGAGCTTTTGGCTTCTCTCCCAAATGCCCAAGTCCAGTCCCAAAATGTCCAAGATCCCTCCAAAATGATGCCTCAGATGACTTAAAATCAAGATTTCAAGTAAGATCAGAAAGGGATTAAAAAATAAAATTAGTGTTTTAATACATTCTCACTGAACAGTTTTATAAAAATATTTAAATAAAAATATAGTTAATTTACAATTTGATTAGATAAATCAGCCAATTTAACTTTTAAAACATTTTGGGAATACATCTTCTTCTTTTTTTGGACTCTTTGGGAGTACACCTTTTAATCTCACGTCGTATTACCCAACTCTCAAGGGGAATCCAACATTGAAGAGATCTCTATCTACTAAGTGACCACGCGCAATAAAAGAATTTTTTGTTCAGTTTCAAACAGTATTATTAAATTCGGTATCGATTTAGTCGGGGTATTAAATTATTGATTGGATCGATAGATCATTAGTCACGTCAGTTTTGACCCGAATATATAAAAACATATATAAATATGAATATTTAAATTTAATTATATTCTTTATATCTAAAATAAGTTAAACAAAATTCTTTAAATAAACTCAAAAATTACTCGATCACATTTGTACAAGTTCATAAAACACAATTAAATAAAAATGCATGTTATTACTATATCAATTTAAATTGTAACTCAGCATCCCACAACATACCTCTCAATGACATTCAAAAGGTCATATGTTGTAAATTCATATTTTTTAAATTCATCTACATTGAAATGACATATGTCATATTCTCTTAATTTATTGTTCCGCAAATTGCTTCAGTATTGGAAGCTAAAATTTGATGTCATTGTAAAAGAGTATATTGCTAGAAAATAAAATTACAAATTTTTTTAAAATGCGTTCTATATTTTTTTTCTGATAAGATGAAACAATTTTAGTTTTTGGTTTTTTTTTTTCAAATGCATGACCCGACCGGTCATCGGGTTTGATCGGGTCCGATGCATGGCCAATCCGATGCTTAACTCGAACCGATCCGATAATCGATTCACCGAGTTTCGGGTCGATCCGGCCAGATCGGATCGGGTTTCACAACATTGGTTTCAAACCAAAACCTTAAACATTAAATTTATAGATCCTCACTCATATGATTTATGTTTAGTTCATTTTTTTTTTCCATATAAAACTGGGTTGAGTGTTTCTCATATTCCAGTAGATAAATTTAGTGTATATAAAAATGTGTGAAACCCATGCAAAGAAAAAAGAGAGAAAGAAAAAATATGAGGCTGATGCACTTATTCCTAACCATTTGTCTATAGACAATCTCACATAAAATTGTGTCATGAAAAGATTTATTCCCAATAAAACGCAAACCCAACCATGAGAGTATTTGCGTCGTAGCTTATACTGATGTGATTTTTTTTATTTTTTATTTTTTCTGAAAAACTTATACTCATTTGATTTACTTGATTGTTGTTGTTATGTTACCCAAATTGAGCCACCCACGTGACAACCAATGGTCACTTCCAGTGGGAACCCCAGAACGTCACTGTTGCTCTTGAAAAAAGACAGCCAAGACAGCGAAAGGCTCAGGAATTAGGATATGTAATTGTGGGAGTCGTGGACTGCATTGTTACCTAGCCTTTCATTAAGGTCAAGAAGCTGGATACGATTTAGGCATCCCTGAAGCGTTGGTTGTGTGTGGTTCTCTTTTACTTATCCCTACCCCAACAACTCTTTAAACTCCTCTATATATATAAATAACATCTCATTATCTTTTCCAGAAACCTCTTAATCCCCTATTTTGTGTTACACACAATCATGTCAGATCAAGTGAATGCCTTGCCTGAGGACCAAGCTGGGGCGGAGCTAAAGCTTCCAGAGCTGTTGCACAGTGACGCTGTTCGACAAGTTCATGCAACTATTGAAAAAGAATGGGAATTCCTTCAAAGATCAGCTTGCCAAACGGCTGCTATAAGGGCTCTGTGGAAGCATGTGATCCATGATCCACTCGCTGACTTATTAGCAGGGGAGACTTACTTGAGAAACCTCCATGAAAAGATAAAGAAAGACCATCTCAACAATGCGCGTGAAATTTCTGGAGTGATGATTGCGGTTCGAACCCTTTGGTTTGATTCTAAACTAGAACATGCTCTCTCTTCCCCCAATGGCAGAGAAGCACAGGTTGTTCTCCTTGGTGCAGGTTTGTGACACTCTGCTACACATGTTTTTAGTTTTGTCCAATATTTGCTAATTGATCAGCTAGCTGAGCTAAAAAAAATCAAGGACGTTTAGGTGAATTACGCTTTCACCATCATATTACAAGATATTTAATGCACAAATTCTTCATGATTTTGACAAATAATTGCTCATATCATCACTAGCCAGGACCATTCAGACACTTTTGGACCAAAGCCTTACAATTGACAAATTATATATACTGATACGTGCAACCTTTAATGTAGGAATGGACACGAGAGCATATCGTTTGAGTTGCTTAAAGGACAGCGATGTATTTGAGGTTGACTTTCCAGAAGTCTTGGAGGTGAAAAGCACCATTTTACAAGCGGCAAGGGAATCCACATACGAATCCCAACATTTTATGTCCAAAGCCAAATCCTTAACCACAGTGGCAGCTGACATAAGAGAAAATGACTGGATGGAAAAGCTTCAAATTGCAGGGTTTTTGCCACAGAAGAGCACGGTTTGGATTCTAGAAGGTCTCCTCTACTACTTGACCCAATCTCATGCCATGCAAGTGCTGAGGATTTTAGCCAACAAATGCGCTCTAACACACACAGTCCTCTTAGCAGACTTCATGAATAAGCCATCAACCACACTATTCAATTCAGCTTTTCAATTTTACAGCGATTGGCCAGATCATCTCTTGCCATCCATTGGCTTCACTAATGTAAAACTGTCACAAATTGGGGACCCAGATGCCCATTTTGGTCTCTTGAATGATCCGTTAAATCTCTTCAACAAGCTGCGCAGCTTGCCTAGGTCACTACAAACCAATCCAGACGATGGAACACCATGCTGTCGCTTGTACTTGGTGGAAGCTTCTGGTTCACCCGATCAAAGTGTTGCGCATTAAGGGCCAATTGTCCCCTTTCACGTCCACTCATAGCCTTGTCTAGATGCAACCCTGTTGATTGTATTGTAGAATAGCACAAGGAGAGTACATATCACATTTTGGAAAATTATTCCAATAGTTGTTGGCCAATCCATTGTTGTCAAAAACTAATATAAAACTATAAAAAAAAATGATACATGTTAGAACGCAGATAAAAATTTTGCTCATAAAAAATGCCACGTACTTTTCTTAATTCAACCCAAAACCTTAAGACAGGATCTGCTTTGTACTTTTCTTAATTTCACCTAAAAGTAAGACGGTGAGGTGACCTCGTGTCCTATACCAGATAAAAAATCACTTCAATCCAAAACCTTAAGACTATGGGTGAAGTTAAATTAATTATTTTATATTTCTCTAACATTTACTTAAACAAAAAACTAAACCAGGTTTTATACAAAAACAAAATTGAATCAGATTAACTTTTAACCCATTAACTTTTAAAAAAAAAAAACCTCGCAGGTGGTTGTTGTTGTAGAGAAAGAACAAGGTGAAGCCACTAATAAAAAGTTTGAATATCAAGCCGAAGTGGGTTTTGAATCAATCTATTATATTTTATTGCAAATGAACTTGTTATAGAAGTAAGAGAATAAGACATTGAGGACATATAACTGGTGCAAGATGATGTGTTTGATTTAAATTAATTGATATAATTTAGGAGTTATTAAATTTTATTCTTTTGATGTTTTGGAATTTGATTGTATAAGTTGTTAACTTTTTTTTTAAACTTATATCTTATATAATTATGTGATTTATATATTTTAAATATGAAGTTGTTCATTGAATTATGAGTAGTGACTTTTATATATATATATATATATATAAATTTGTATCTTAACCTTAAATAATAGAAACTTTACGTTGTTTCCTGTCATTTTTATGATTTACGTTCTACCATTTCCTTCTTTTTCTAAATAAAAACTTGATTTTGGCATCATTGACCCGTGTGATGTCGCTCGTACAATTGCTACAGCATTGGCGAAATGTTAGAGGGGACAAATATCTATAAAAAGTCTTTGAAGTAAAGCATGACACAATTTTTTTAAGTTAAATTTTTTTTTTATGTTATAATTAATTATAACTTAAAAAATAAAGTTAAAAATTATTTAATAATTATATAAAGGATTTATTATTTCTAAAAATAAATATATTTTTTATTTTCTGTACACTCGTAAAAGTGTATGATATACATTTTTTTTCTCTCTTTCCTCACATGGACCCACATATTTTTGTGTGCGTAAAAATTAAATTTTATTCTATAAAATAAGAAACATTAATCCCTTATATAAAAGTGTTATGAGAGTTTTGAAGAGGAAAAAAATTAAATAATTTATATTAGAATGAATTATTATGATAAAAAGTAAAATTATTAAATAACAGTAAAATTAAAAAAAATAAGAGAACTCTAATAAACTAATATATATATATAGAGTTTGATGTTTGTTATTTTAAATGACACAAATTATATCATTTTAAGAGAGAGATAGACACAAGGAACGAAAATCATGAAAGAGAAAGATGGTTGATTTTTTTTAAATTTAAATTTTAAATAAAAAAATATTATGTCTATCTTTCTCTTAAAATGACATAACTCATTTAAAATGACAAATATTTTTTTCAAATATATATATATATATATATATATATATATATATATATATCTTAAAAAAATACTCTTGAAAGCTTTTAACTTTTGCTGTTTTTATTTGTTAATAAGCTGATCAAACATCCGATTTATTGAACTGATAAAACTAAATCAACGAAGATCCAGCCGAACTGGTTGGAGCAATTTAAGAGAAAAAAAAGACATACATAGGCATCATTTCGAATTTTCTTTTTACGAAGCAGATGAAGTCATTTTAAATATTATATCACCTTACAACTCATTCTTTTAATGTAATTCTTAATACTACGAATTTATAAATTTGTGTATCCAGAAAAAAAAAATAATTTATAAATTTGATGTTTATTATTGAACTTAAAAATGTTATCACATTACTTAATTATAAATATGAATTACTTTATTACTGTTTTAATTCAATATTTATTATACATTTAAAACTAAAAAATATATAATTAATTTTTACCTATTAGACCAAGATTTAACCACAGATCAATAATTCGATGTCCTCATCAGATCAACCACAAGTCCAGTTTTGAAAACAGCAGTTTCTTGGTAATTCATAAGCAAATACCAGTTTTTTTTTACACACAAAAGCAAATACTAGGCAAATGTGTTCTCTAGCAAAAAATTTTAAAACATGATACCAAACATGGACATCCAAAAATACCACTTTCATTTGCCTATCTATCCTTAACAAAATCTTTTACCAAACACACTCTTAAAAAATTATTGGAGAGTTTATCATGTAGAGTATTTGCAAATCATGAATATACTCTTAAATATAAGAGTATAAAAGTCCAAAAGTGTCAAAATGGATTGAAGCTCACGGATCAGCCTGCAATATCCTATATTTAACATCCTATATTTAACCCTAACTCATTAGGTTTTTTTGTGATTTTGTAACTCTAACCCCCAAAATGCTTGTATTAGAATTTATTGGCAAAAATTTTTTCTTCATCAAAATTTAGATTATTTTAAATATATATATATATATATATATATATATATATATATATATATATATTTATAAATATAAAATTAATTAAAAACATAATATGATAACAAAAATATACTTTTACATATATAATTTTATAGAGTATATACAATAAATATATTTAATGAAGTTTGAAGACTTTTAAGTTATTTTAGTAATTTTACTTTTTTGTGGATCATGTATTTTATTAAAATACCTTACAATAAATATAACTTTATCTCTTGTTTTAATAGAAACATTAATCTTATAATAATAATAGTTAAAGAAAAAAACTAATTTAACTTTTAAATATATAGCATACTTATAATAGTTGTTCAATACTAATATTAAGATTGTTTTTTCACTATTTCTTTCGGTTTTCCACTAGACTCCTAGAGAGAAAAACTTTCATTCAATGACATCCTTTAACAACAAAATTTGGCAAAGATAGTAAAATCATTTTTCACTTATATTAAAATTTTACTTACATTTTCACCTGTAAATTTATGTGCAAATAATTTTTCATAAAAAATTTATATTGAATATAGAATATTTCATGAAAATATTAAATATTTATTTGTTAAAATCATTTTGAATGCGTTGAATTTGATAAAACAATAATTTTTTTGAAATTATGATTTTGGATTTTGGCTCACGAGGGCCTTTATTATTGTGCACCATTTGGCCCTACGGGCTTTTTGGACTTAATCCACTCGAGCTAGGATCTAACGGGATGGACTGACCCGTTTTGAGTTTTTGACAGCTATATATAAAACTATCAAGAGCATGAGCGTTTTCTCTACGAAACGATTCAGAGGATTAAATGCATTGAAAAACTTAGCAGATATGTAATGACAGAGTGCTTACGTATTTTAGATTGAGATTTGAGAGAACTAGTAAGCAGTAACTTGAGTAGGGCAAAAGCATATTTTGATATTCGAAGCAGTCAGTACATTGATGAGAGCAGAAAATTGCTGCTTACACGAATAGATTCCCTGTGGGACAAATGAAAGTATTAGCAAACAAATAATGCCCAAACCCAAGTTCAGATAGTGAGGTGGCTAAAAGTTTAGAGTAAGAAAGAGATTCAGATATTTTCGGTAATGAAATTGGGTAAAGTGTGTGTCATTTTAAAGGATATAAAGTTGTGTCATTTTAAGAAAGAGAAAGAGATAAATAAAGGAGGAGAAATAGTTGACCAAAAAAAAATAAAAGTGTGAGTCCCACCTCTTTATGAGAGTGAAATGATATAAATTGTGTCATTGAAAAAGATAAACACTTTTCCCAGTGAAATTATATACTAACGATAAAACTATCAAAAGCATGCGCGTTTTCTCTTCGAAACGATTCAGAGGATTAAATGCATTGAAAAACGTAGCCGATATGTATTGACAGAGTGCTTACATATTTTAGATTGAGATTTGAGAGAAGTAGTAAGTAGTAACTTGAGTAGGGCAAAAGCATATTTTGATATTCGAAGCAGTCAGTACATTGATGACAGCGGAAAATTGCTGCTTACACGAATAGATTCCCTGGGGGACAAATGAAAGTATTAGCAAACAAATAATGCCCAAACCCAAGTTCAGATAGTGAGGTGGCTAACAGTTTAGAGTAAGAACGAGATTCAGATATTTTTGTTAATAAAATTATATACTAACGATATTTGACAGCAAAATTTGTCATTGAAGTTTAAGATTATAGATATTGCCAACCTTTCACGTAATGGAAGTACTGCCAGTGATTTTTTTTATCTATGTTTTTTTTTACAAAAAAAAAGGTAAAGAAATCAAAGGAAAGTAGACATAACAAAACGCTAAATTCGAAAAATAAAGACAGAAGCACATACTAGCACAATTGTTTAAGGATCAACTTCCACTTCAAAAAGTAGGATAGGCTATCCTTTACAGTCAGATTTCAAGGCAATCCCTGATTCCCTGCTCAAATTTGTCGAGAGAAGATATTGTATCTGATAAAGCGTCAGCTATCTTTCTTCTGGGAAAAAAAAATGAGTGATTCAAGAGGCAAGCCATCGATTTGATAATCTAGCTAGGTAATAGGCACCAGAATAACACATATGAGCATTCCGAACTATAACAAGCAGCAATAACTTAGAATATAAAACTTCGGCTTCTAACAATTTAAAAAGGGAGAAACAAAAAGGACACCAAGACAGGCAATTAAATCAAGAGGAAAAACAAATATATAAATCCATATTTGTGTTTAGACTTAAGTTGGGACTTGGGGAAAAAACAAAAGTGGTTCTATAGTTAAAGAAGGGTAAGATATTGTTATATTTTAATCCATATCTTTATATCTTTCTAAACATTTATAAACAAGCAGTTCAAGGAGAGGCGGTCAAAGACATATCAGAAAGAACATAAAGCAACACATCATTATGCAAATCAAGACACTCAAAACTTCAGATAAAGCCCTTCCAATCCAAATACAAGAACATGTTATACGATTAGAAACAGACCAATAAATCTTGAGAAGGATCCGCTTATAAATCCAACCTACAACCATTCCAGCAACTTGACTGCTGCTTTTCAGAAATTTAGCATTTTTCAAAAGCTGTTTACCGGTTCCCCTCATTTTTGAACATTAAGACATAAAAAAACTAGAAGTCCATCATTAGTTGTTGCAGAACCTCAGGTCCCTCTCGTTCATCAAGAAATTAATTTCAAAAGGAGTTCAAACTAAGTTAGGCGTAACATGAAATACAATAGTAACAAAGTAATATGACAGTAGTGGATACTAACAATTTTTTGTTCGGTTGGGGGGCGGGGGTTGTTGTGAGCTAGGTTCAGTTTTTTTTTTTTTTTTCAAACAATCACATAAAGAATTTTCTTTAAAAAAGAATCAAGTCTTCCCCCATATTCCCGTATGCTACTATCAAAGAGATACCTATCTGATGCCAGTTGAATGTTGGTTTCGCTAGCCAGCCCACTGATAGAGGTAAAAGATCTGCATGATATGGAAGCAAATGAGAAGCAAGCATTTAACATCAGATGTTGCCAAATTATGTAATAAACATGCATTTTGGGGTCAAAGGGGTATTAAAAGGGAGGATAAAAAGGAAAAGAGAATGCAGATAATGCTTTAGGTATTATAATGCATGAAGATAGCATGTAAGAAATTTACAGGAAACAAAAAAAAGGTATTGTTTTAGCAAACAATCTAAAATCTACAAGATAGAATAGAAACTCAGCAATTCACTGTCAACTGTTAAGGAATAACTCTCCTAAAAGCTTAAGGAGATAGGTAAAAGCTCATGAATAGCTTTATTATATTTTTATCACACCCTTCCATGCAATAGCCACTTGGGCTTGAAGCGTGGACAATACAAGACCTTTTTACCATGCGCTATAATAGTATACGAGTTGCTCACTTGGTATTAAAAGCCGGAATACCATGGCAAGGAAAGCTTGAGCAATAAGTAAAGCCTCATGAATGATTTTATTACATATCTATCAGTTACCATGACACAAGGAAAACTCTTGAATATTATTCATAACTGAAAATAGGGATTTCATCTCCATTTACACATGGCAAGCCCTTTTATATGCATGATAAAACTAGACTGGCAAGTAAAAAATCTTCTACAACTTTTGAAATCTAAATATTATCCTCAAAGGAACATAATTATACCAGAATTACCGTAAATTTATCTAAAATAACTAAATCATATCTCTGAAACTAATTACTGCCAAAAATTTAACTCAATCATCAAAACCAAAATATAATTACATTTGACCTACCTTTGTCCAGCATCAAATTGGAAAAAAGAATGACGTTAGGAAAAGAATAAGTAGTCATTAAAAGTTTCTAATGTAGAATGAAGCAAAAGCTAAAATGCTGGGAATAAGATCCTGTCCACAAAAAGAATTAGATGCTGGAAACAAGATATACCAGATAAACATGCAAAAGAAAGGAGTCATTTTGCAACTACATTGCACTTCAATCTGTTTATTTTATTACAAAGAAATACCAACAGTGCAGCATGGCCATGGAGAACTACACTTAACTGGAAATACAACAATTTTGCACAACGTAACCAAAAACAATTCTTTCTGAAATCAGCTAGTTTCTTTAGATCTAAACAGAAAATTAAACCATTCAATTTCAAATCAATCATTAGCTTGTACATGTGAAGTAGACATTCAATATTCTCAAATAGTGTGGAGGCTTCCTATATTTATTTTAGTGCTTGGAACCATTGGGACTTAAAAAAATTAAACAATCAAAGTAAAGAAAGGATTTGAGGGACATTAGTCACTGCAGTAAGATACAGAACATAGATGCTGGGAAGTGGATACCTCACGAGATTATCTAGCAAAGCTTCAGCTTTCAACTTTACAGGATCCTTATTTCCAAGCAAGGAGGCAGCGTTCTTCACAATCAACCGAAACGTGCACACCTGTGCATTAAAAAGACAGTGGAGGCGAATTACGTCTCTGTCAGAACGTTTCTTTGCACTCGAGCTACCATGCTTTTCGGGAAAAGGAAGATAGAGAGGAATAAAGCATCCACCTTAACACATAACGATGATGTTAAAAGAAATTCGCGTGTTTAACACTATACCTATGGCTATCAGTCATCATTTGATGCCCCAAAGATAATAAAAACAATAATAATTGATGATTCATTGGAATCGTGAACTTGCAAGCATTTGATAATTGATACTCAATAACCATCGTCGTTTTATATTTTCCTATTATGTCTTCCATAACCTAATTAGTGAAACAAGCGAGACAATCAAACCTCTACGCCGGTGTTGGATTGGAAAGTGACAAAAGAATTCCTGTCCTGTGGGACGCAATCCCTTGCAGCTGATTTGAAGAGCTGCTGGAATTTCTGCAAATCTTCATCCGCATAAGCAGCGTCGGTTTCCGCTGCCGAATTAAACAGTAATAAGAAAAGAAGCAATTAATGTGCGCATGAATGTGGAGAGAAAAAGGAAAAGACGTACTGAGAAAGAGATAGGCAGATCGAAGGGTTTCGCGGGAGGCATCGACGGGGGCCAATAGGAACTTGGAGGCCTTCTTTTTTTGCTCTTTGAGCCAATCCTTTGGTCCTGCTGCGCATCAATTTCAGGAATTAGGGTTTTTCCAGAAATAATACTAAGTAACCAAGAAAGTGGAACAAGAGTGGCGGCGTGCGTACAGAAGCCAATGTCAATGGCGGAGGCAGGTGAAGGTGAAAAGAGAGAGAGGAACGAAAGCAAAGCAATATCTCTGCGAGAGAAACTCGGAAAGGGGGAATGGGAAGAGACGTTGCGTTTTGGAGGGAACAAAGCGCGCGCGGTGAATGTGGATAAAGAGGGAAAGGGAGAAAGGATAGCTGGGAATGGCATTGTTATTGCTTTGCTTCTGCAGTTAGAGCACACTTGTTCGAGGGTTGTTCTTACGGATCAGATTGTTTCCTATCCTAGTTAATTGGTCCTCTCCGCGTACATTTTCATTTTTCATACCGACATTTTTTGAGGGATGTGTTATCACACGCAGAAATTAAACCTTACATGTAACGTAACCAAAAAAGAAAAGAAAAATATAAAGAAATTAAACCTTACATAGACCCATTAAATGTGACATTTGTTCAGATTCTGAGTTCAAACCATAATTACCCTTTGTAGAAATCTATCTTATGTTTCAATTTCATTTAGTATAAATATTTTATTAAACTACAGTTAAATTATGATTTATAGTAAACTTTAATTATCCCCTTGATAATCCTTAATATCCAACCTAGTCCGATAACTTATGTTAACTTTAAACTAATATGATCAATGGAAATGAATCCTTCCATGTGAAAAATATATATGACATTATCATGTTGTGAGGAGATCACAACTATACAAAAGTAAATCAGTGATTATAATTTTGTAATTATCTATTTTACTAATTTATTTCTCTCTTCTTTTATTACCATTGATTCATCTTTTATATGATTATGATTTTTTACATAACTATGTCATTCTTTTTTCATAGAAGAGGATCCAAATCCTTGATCAAGTTTGTATATTTTGAAAATTCGAGTTTGAATTAGACCATTTTTTTTTTAGATACAGACCAACTTCAAATTGTCTCTGCTCTGTCTAAGTTATATAATATTTTAGTACTTGTATTATTTAAAAAAAATTAAAGATAAAAGACAATAATTTTTCACTTAAAATTATTATCTTATGTTAGGGAAAGGATATTATAACAACCAATTAATGTTATTACCAATCAATTTCACCATTAGATCGTTATGTTGATCCAACAATTATATTTATTTCCATCTTTGTATGGTTATGATTCCCCATATTTAATATTTATTTCTACCTTTGTATAGTTATGATTTTTCATATTTCACATTAAATACGGAGAATTATAACTATACAAATATAGAAATAAATATAACCGTTAGATCAAAATAATCGATCTAACGGTGAAATTGATTGGTAGTAACACTAATTGATTATTACAATATCCTATCCCCTATGTTATGTATAATATGATAACATTTTTTATATTGATGTAATCTATTTATTTTAAAGCATCCATTGGTTTTTATCTGGTTGATTAATATAATTCAAGTCAATGAAATTACCTCCTCATCCTAATTAATTACATATATTTGATTGGGATTTGTGGGTTATTGTCAAAGTTTACATTGTACACCATCATCTATCAGACATACACTATCACAATACCAAGAAACAGGCCGGACGTAGAGTTTGTAAGTGTCATCCCATGAAGTGTGATCACAAGACAAGTTCTGAATTAGCCCAATGGAATGTGTATTCATCCAAAACAAATACATTATTGCATAAACATTAACTTCAACGTTTTCAATTTTGTGTTTTTAAAATTTCATAACTTAGCTACATGATCTTAAATTTATATATTTTGCGTAAATCTCCTTCGGTTGAATTCTGATATAATAATCTGTTTAAGTCTAGGGTTTAGCCGTGATCATAAAAATAACTTGATCAAAATACAAAATTGAGTTCAGACATGTTTTGACTGGTGTCAATTGTCATGAGAATGGAGCATAACATGTTGTGCTGCATAGCATATTACGTGTAAGTAACCTAGTAGTCTAACATTTTTTTGTCTCAGTTCTAAAGTAATTTAAATTAATAAAAGTAAATTAATTAACAGACATAAATTAAATTTAATTGATTAATATTTTAAAATTAAATCAAATTACTTAACAGTTCAAAACAATTTTAACTTAACATAAACTAATTAAATAAAATTAATTAACACTCCTAAAAATAATTAATTACTAGTTCTAAAATAATTTAAATTAATATAAATTAAATTAATTAACAGACATAAATTAAATTTAATTCATTAACACTCGTAAATTAAATTACTTAACAATACAATTTTTTTTAACTTAACATAAACTAAATTAAATAAAATTAATTAACAGTTCTAAAATAATTTAAATTAATATAGACAAAATTAAATTGAATTAATTGACAAACATAAGTTAAATTTAATTCATTAATACTCCTAAATTAAATTAAATTACTTAACATATCAAATTTTTTTAGCTTAACATAAAGTAAATTAAATGAAATTAATTAATACTCCTAAAAATAATTAATTAACAGTTCTAAAATAATTTAAATTAATATAGAAAAATTAAACTGAATTAATTAACAAACACAAATTTAATTTAATTCATTAATACTCCTAAATTAAATTAAATTAATTAACACTCCTTCATTAAATTAAATTAATTAACAAACATAAAATAAATTAAATTTTCAGTCCTAAATTAAATTATTTTAACATAAGTTATTTAAAACTAAAATATTCAAACCAATATTAATTTTTCTTAAATCATTTTATTTCAAGATACAAAATTTAAATTATCCTATAGTTTATTAGACCACAACAATGCAAATCAACATTGGGCTACTTATTGTACTAAAAAAAAATTGGATTACTTACCCATAATATACTATGCAGCACAACATGTATGGTCACGTGTTATATTTGCTAGGCAGCATAGTTTAACACATGTCAAACACATAATATGTCAAGCTACCTAACGTTTTATGCTGCGTGCGTTGCACCCTGTAGCGATTTAGGAGACCATGAACATACTATCACATATTCACAACTAATTTATCAAGTGTTGTAACGAGTTAGGTGATGTATAATTTGAAAAAAAAAATTCGATCCGTGATATTGAAATAATTTCTTGTGAATAATGTGTCATTTTGTTGGGTGTCCCAACTTTTCTATACATATACGAAAAAATATGATCACGCACGTGAAGTAGATATTATCTCCCGAGAAACAATAAACCCAGTAACTAATAATGATAGTTCAGCCTACCTCACTCACATTCACCCGGGATAAAGACAAAGCTCGTGTTGATCGAGACAGAGAGAGAGAAAAAAAAAAAAAAAGGACGAGAAAAAAAGGAATGGCATCACCTGATTCCGATTCTGATCTGAGTACTGTGTATAAGGAACACAAAAATTGTGGTTGGGCGCTACTTATCCACGCCAGAATCAGAAAATCAGCAGAAAAAATGCAAAAAAGCGAGCACCAGTACGGCTCCTTCCTTTTCCTCCACGTGGCAGAGCATGCTCATCTCAACTCACGAACTCCCCTCTCTACCTTTCCATCGACGTCTCGCATTGCAAATCTAATCCATTCCCAAGTGCTAAGTGCTAACCCCTTCCGGTTTCCGTTCGTTTCCGCGATGCCTTATATTTGTTAGTATTTTTTTGTCAAAGGAAAAGGAATAATAGACAACTAGTTGGGAAATGCTAAGAACAAATAGGTGGTTGGCTCTATTGATAAATTAAGGATAGGGGAATTAATTCCTTCCCCAACATGTATTGATTATTATATCCAATTCGAGGATAGGAATAATCCTATTCCAAGGAATGCTACCTTCCAATTCCAATTAGGCAAAAAGTGGTAAATGCAGGTGAAGCTGCATTTCCAAGCTGTAATTGCATTTGCTAACTTTGCAATGCCAGCATCTGATTCCTTCCCATTCGCACTGATTCCAACCATCACCATGCCTATGCCTATGCCTATTTAATCACTGCACGATGCGAATTCGCAAGTGGCCTCTCTCATCCTCTCTCTCTAACTTCTCTCCTCAACTCACACCTCTTTTATCTTCTCGCCTTCGCTTTGCTTCTGGAATCTGCACCAAACCTCCTCGCTCCATCGCTAACACCACATCGCCAGGTTCGTTTTCCCTCTTTTTAACCGGATTTCTTGTGCTCTAAGCTTTTTTAAATTCTCTTATGATGTTAGCCCTGTACACGTGGACATGGTTAAGCAATTCGTTTTGTTCGGTCTTGATTTGTTCGAGATTGTAGAGGTAGCTAGCTATATAGCGTGAGATTTGAGATATGGATTGGTGGGAAAAATTAGATACTAGAAACCTAGAGGATTGCTCTTCTTAATTCATAAGTTGAATTTTTAGGTGTTTCTTGGAGCCTAGCTCGGGGAATTCCAAGACTAGGAACGTAGCCCCGTGCATTGTGCGCCATAATCCCTTCACAACCAAGGTAAGATGTCAAAAATCGTTTTCAAGGGAGGGGTTATCATTACTCTCTCTCTTTTTCTTCTTGTTTTCAAGTTCTTAGGATCTATGGATAAAATGATGCGAGTAATTAAGGTTTTTGGGTTGGTTACTTCACCAAATCTGTGTTGAATCATCAAATGTCTCTCCATTTTATTGGTCAGAAAGATTCAGCTAGCCTCAATTATCTGTATGAATGAATTTGTGCGCGTGATTCACATGTATCAGTTTTATTGCAATGAAACTCCTAGTTGTTTCCTTTTTGGTCTGAATACATATAGTTCAATGGGTTACTCTCGTTAAGCATGTCCAATGTCGAGAAAGCCAGGAGGTGGATGCATTTGCTTTTTGTAGATTTTGGACAAATGTCTTATTATCCTGCTTTTGTGGGATAGCATTTGGAAGGTTATGAAACTCAATCTAGTTTGACTGAAAATAGGTAGCGCATTAGGTTCATTGTTACTTTGTGTGGTCGTTATGTGTACCTAAGTGATTCCTATTTCAAACCATTACATGATTCTTTCTCCTGGGTTGAATCTATCAGGAGCTAAGCAGTTGCATGCTCAATATTCAATGGATGAGAACCATGGAATTGGCATACACGACCCAAGATCAGTGGATTTTCCTGGCAGTGATAATGGCAAAAGGCCACGTGTGTGGTCATCATCTCTTGAGCATGGATGGAAAACTGATATAGGCAAGCAGATATTTTGTAACCGGTCACTGAATATGAAGAACATTGTTGCTGTGGGATTTGACATGGATTATACTCTGGCACAATACAAGCCCGAAACTTTTGAATCTCTTGCTTATCAAGGCACAATTAAAAAGCTGGTTTATGATTTGGGATACCCGCAGGAGGTTTGTCCAATTAGTCTTATGGCACTTTTATCATGTTTGATTAATTTGTCATCTTTTTCTTGCAGTAATTATGATGGAAGTGCTGGTGTAATATGTGTTTTTTTCATAGATTTACTAACTTCCTATTGGTTCACTGTATTAAAGGATTTTATTTATTTGCATATTTTTTGCTGGTATAATCAATCTACATTCTTTTGTATTTTGGCTAAAACCCTTTTTCTCTTCCGCAGCTACTAAATTGGTCTTTTAACTGGAAGTACATGGTCAGGGGCTTGGTTCTTGACAAAAAAAGAGGCAACATCTTGAAGGTTAAGACTGGATAAATGTTCTCTTCACCACTTTAACCAGGGAAAAAATACATTAGCAGATTGCATGGAAAACTTTTTTTTTTTACTTTCTCTGTTTGATTGATGCTGGTTCTATGTATTTAGATGGACCGCCACAAGTATGTAAAAATAGCCTATCATGGATTTAAAGAGTTGTCGAAAGAAGAAAAAGTTGGGACCTATGGAAGTACTTTAGTACGTGATTCGTTTGATGAGCCAGACTATGCTCTAATTGATACACTCTTTTCGCTCGCGGAAGCCTACTTGTTTGCTCAACTGGTTGATTTTAAGGATAGCAATCCTGGAAAGACTCGAGAGGGTGTTGAGTAAGTCTTATTTGTCTTCATGATTTTTTTTTTGAGAATTTTATATGCTTTTATTTTCAAGGTCAGTCAACTACATTCTAGGACTTAGGCAATATTTGTTTTTATTTTTTTAACGGGAGGTAATCTTGGTTAGTTTTTTTTAAAGAATTGATTGTGTAATAATTTATCATTGATATATTACCTTCCAGGTAGATTTGGCTTCTTTATGGGTAAGGACATACCTAGAATATCATTAATGTTGACTTCGGCACCCTGCTGGGGCTTTAAAAGGCTAAGGCAGCTTGCTATTAACCCTGTTTGTACAAAGTACAGAACAATAGTTTTAGCTACTATTGCGACAAGAACAGTAGGCAGGTGAAATAAATGCATAGTTCTATAATTAATATTTTTAATATAAAAAGTCATATAATTAATTTTATTTTCCAAATATTTGGAAAATAATAGTTGGGTGTAAAAGAGAAATGAATGAGCATTCTATATATTTGTATAGAAACCATCGAACAGTCAATAAATAGATGAAAGCTTCATGATTGTATATTCTTTATCAATTGTCCTGCTCCTTCCAGTTATGCTCGCATGTACAAAGATGTTCGAGCTGCAGTTGATTTGTGCCACCGTGATGGAACGTTGAAGCAAATGGTTGCTAAGGATCCCAAAAGGTATGAATATAAAATCACTAACCTATCAAGTGAGAAATGGACAAACAATTTTTATGCTAGCAATAAGATCTCAAACATTAATTGTTTCTTTGTGAAAATTGTGTTCTTAAATTTCACATATCGTCTATGAATTCTTGATGAAATTATTCTGACTTGTTCTTTTTTTCTTTTTCTTTTTTAATTTTTTTTTTCACTTATCAGGTATATTAATGAAGACACCTCAATAGTACCCATGCTTGAAATGCTCAGAGAATCTGGACGCGCAACATTTTTAGTGACAAATAGGTAGTTATGAATTTTCTATGTATGCATATTGCATAGGAAAAATGTCATCAAGAAATAGTCCAATGTCCAACCATCTTGTGGTTATTGATAATTGATGGAACAATCATGTATAAACTTGTTTATAAGGCATTTTAAAACTTTTTAAAAACAAACACATAGTGCCTAGCGGGGATTTCTAACATGTTATATGATCCTTAATGTTCAAAAATAGTAGAGTTCAGTGAGTTACGGTATGTTGCAAGATTATAAGATAAGAATTGAAAAGTACTTTAAAATTTAAAATCAATTGATCTAACCGAAAATATTTCAATGAATAATTTCAAAAAACAGTGGCTCATTTCCTTCTCTACAGACATTTTAACTAATATTTTTCATACTTTCATATGTCATTTGCAGTTTATGGGACTATACCAACATTGTCATGAATTTCCTCTGTGGATCCAGTATTATAGGTGGCAGTTACAATTTTGGCTGGCTTCGATATTTTGATGTTGTTATCACTGGCAGGTCATGTTCTTATCTTAGCATATCTGCCTAGTTATATTTGTTTGGCTTCATTATTCTGCCTAATGTGAATATTCCCCTATATTGTCAAATTATGACCCTTGGATTTCTGTAATGCACAATTTCTGGTGCATGGAATTAAGAGACTTTCCAACTGTTTACTTTGGTCCTTCCTTGTGTTGTTTACTGAATTGCATTCGCAATTTGTTTTAGCCATACTAATACATGCCATCCTACCTTTGATGACACATCATGTATCATTCATTTTATGAACCTGATAATTTATAAGAAACATCCAATTCCAAACATATTTAGGATGCACTTTTGCAGTGTGTTTTTAATCTGTAAAGTTAACTTTTGGGACATCAACATCAACAAAACCTTTAACCCAAGATAATTGGGGTCAGTGGTAGATGAACCCAATGATAAATAAGAGGAGATTAAAAATAAAATAAATAAATAAATAAATATAATGTAAATAAATAAATAAAAATAAAAATAAAAATAAAAAATTGGGGAAGGGGGAAATAAGATAAAAGACAAGAAGGGGAAAAGAAAGAGAGGGGGGATTGACGAGGAAAAGGACTAAAAAAAGATTATCTGGAACATAGGAATAACAACGGGGTTAACATTCCACCCTGCTTATAGCTTTTCTCCATTCCGTTCTAAGACACACCGTCCGCCAATCTATATCCCACTCCATTAAGCCTTGTTTAACTACTTTTCTCCAGGTAAGTTTCGGTCTACCTCTACCTCTCTTTGTGTTGAGCTCTTGGTAACAAACTTTTGTTCTTATAGGAGCATCCAGGGGCCGTCTCGTTACGTGCTCAAACCACCTCAATCTATGTTCCCTCATCTTTTCAGTTACCGGTACTACTCCTACCTTTTGTCGAATATCTTCATTTCTTATCTTATCCATCCTCGTATAACCACACATCCACCTTAACATCCTCATTTCTGCTACTCCCATTTTATGCTTGTGTTGCCTATGTGCTGGCCAACATTCACCTCTATATAACATTGCAGGCTTTACTATAGAATTTTCCTTTAAGCTTAAGGGGAATTTTTCCGTCACACAAAAATCCAGATGCACTCCGCCATTTCATCCATTCTGCTCTAATTCTATGATTTACATCCTCATCAATCTCACCACCTTTTTGCAAAATTGATCCCAGGTATCTAAAAGCATCTTTCTTGGGTACCTCTTGGCCAAGTAGATGCACGGGATCTTGATCTCCATCTCTTACCAGAGAAAACTCACACTTCATATACTCAGTCTTGCTCCGGCTTAGCGTAAAACCTTTAGACTCCAAAGTGCTTATCCACAATTGAAGTTTCCTATTAACACCGTCTTTAGTCTCATCAATAAGCACAATATCATCTGCAAAAAACATACACCACAACACTTTCTCTTGAATGTCTTTTGTTAGTTCATCCATCACTAAGGCAAAGAGATAAGGACTCAGAGCCGAACCTTGGTGTACACTTACTGTAATAGGAAAATAACTTGATGTTCCATTACAAACTTTCACACATGTAGTAGCCCCATCATACATATCCTTAATTGCATTTACATACTTTGATGATACTTTTTTCTTCTCAAGAACCCATCTTAAAACTTTTCTTGGGACCTTGTCATATGCTTTCTCAAGATCTATGAACACCATATGTAAATCCTTCTTTTTTTCTTGATATCTTTCTATCAATTAACGTATCAAGAAGATAGCTTCTGTGGTACATCTTCTTGGCATAAATTCAAATTGATTTACAGAAACCTTGGCTCTCTCCTCAAACGATGTTCAATAACTCTCTCCCACAACTTCATAGTATGGCCGTAAGCTTAATGCCTCTATAGTTAGAATTCGGGTTTCTGAGAACACACAATAATATTGTAACATATAGAATTCCTTGCTAACCCGATCAAGTCTACTATTCTACAGTGCAAAGCCAGGATTTTTTCACGAGGAAACTCGTGCCAACCTATTTGAGGTTGTGCCTGAGACTGGAATGCTACTTAATACTGATAATGGCTCTCCTATGCCTGAGGTTAGCAATAGCACATCATTTTATTCACTTATTTAATGATCTTGTATAAAACTAGTGTCATCTCTCTCTCTCTTTATTATTATTTTTTAATTGAAAGGTGGGTAATATCTCAGCAAGGTTATTCTTAGAAGGGAAGAATCATGCTTGTCAAGTTTTCCAGGTAAAATCATCATCTTACATAAAATGAAAATCATTTTGTTTAGGTTTACGCAAAACAATTTGAAGTTAGTGTTATTTTAATACATAGTCGGTATACAATAAATGTTTGATAGCTCAGCATTTATGTAGTTATTATGAACATCTATTGTAGGGAGGCAACGTAGCTCATCTGCATAAACTACTTTCTATTGAATCAAGCTCACAGGTAATATTTTTCTCTTATGACTATATGTGTTGGTAACTTAAATAAATGTAAAATGGTAGTAAGTTACATCGTGGTGTTTCTGGTTTGAAGAGCTGATTATTTTGAATTATGGTTATTGATTGTAGGAATTCTAATACTTGAGGGTTGTTGGTATACTGAAGCTTCCTGTAAAAATCTGAATCTATATGTGTAGGTTCTGTATGTTGGGGATCACATTTATGGAGATATACTACGCAGCAAAAAGGTTCTTGGTATATCATATTAATCCTTACAACTATTCTATCAAATAGATTTGCATTATAATTCTAGCTTCCAGTAAATTTTGGTGTTACCTGTGGTTATGATAGGAGGAGTGCGGATAACTGATAATGTAATGTAGAAAATAAGACATTGATGGAATTTTTAATGAATCCACTTGATTCTTGTTTATGTGTGAAACCCAAATATTAACTCCTTTTGAAAATTTTGTATTTTTGTGGATTCTCCTTTAAGTGACTTAAATTTGATTGTGATGTAATGTGTTTGACGAGCAGGATGGAGAACAATGCTTGTAGTCCCAGAGCTTGAAAATGAGGTTAAACTCCAGTGGGAATCAAGGGGTACCCGCAAGGTGCTTATTGATTTTATTACCATTAGTATTATTTTTTATGATAAGGCTTAGCTTTATAAAAAATAAAAAAGGAAAAAAGAAATGTTTAATTCATGGATAAAGGACTTTATGTGGGCTTCTGACATTGTTTTAATGAGGTGTGCTTTTGCGTTCTTCTTATTCTCCTTCTGAATAGACACCTAACAAGCTAATACACATTGAGGAAGATATTTACATGAATATTCTTGTGCAGGAACTTCAATTCCTGAGGAGTGAGCGGGATCGCATTGAGGATGAAATACATCATTTGAAGTGGTTTCTCAAGTTAGTATAACTCTGGTCCTCTCATAAGTCCTTCCTTATTATATGATCACATTCTTAAAGAGTAGTGCACTATTTTTCAGATTCAAGAATCCAGATGCTGATGTCAAGCAGAATTTGTCTTCAGAACTTGATAAATTGGAGGTTTGGCCTTTGGGTCCATTCCCATGTCATGCATTGAAGTCCAATTTCAGACATTTGATAAGCTGCTATTTTTTTTGGCAGCTTGAAAGAGAGAGAGTGCGATTAAGTCATCAAGAAGCTCAAAGAAAATTACACCAAAGGGTAGAAAGTTCACCTGTCGACTTTTTCCATTATCTTTAGTTCTCTTTCTACTAGTCTCTTACGGTTATAATATATCCAATTCACATTGTAATTTGTATGAGAGATGTTGATTGTTTGTAAACTAAATCATTGCAGTTTCACGAGCCATGGGGACAGCTTATGAAAACTGGTTTTCAGAACTCTCGCTTTGCTCATCAGGTAAGACGCGACTCTCTTTGGTGGTTTAGGTGTACATGCTCCATTCTAAAACCTGTATACAACAGGAAATTGTACTTACAGTATCTTTCTAATTAGATTGGCTGCTAGGGAGGTTTACTAGTTGCAAATAGCATACCAACCCTTGCAAAACTATGCCTTAAAATATCAGATCAACTAAAGAACATGGTAAACCTATGCATCTTAATATAGCAATTTCAAGAAGAAACCTGTAAAAATGATTGATGTTTTTCTTCCTAAATAATAATATCAAATTGATCTCTTCGAATGGTAATTCTTTAAATGAACTTGCGTGATATGCCTGGTGCAGGTTGAGAGATTTGCCTGCCTTTATACTAGCCAAGTGTCTAACCTGGGCTTGTACTCTCCAGACAAGTATTACCGACCCAGTGAAGATTTTATGCAGCATGAATTTGGCATTCTGACTTCTCAGCCTGGGGAAATGTAAGTTTAGGAGTTTGGGGCAGCATTCCTTTGGGTTTAGAAAGCTAATTCTGAGCTGCCCCATGCTCCTGTTCCCCGTCTTCGTTCCCTGTTCTTTTTTCTTTTTCTTGAAATTGCTCGGTGTAGTAATTCAAAGCGCCGTATGATCTTTTAAACGTCTGCTACATGGGGGGAAAGGATACTGGGTTATAACGTTGTATAGGTTCGTCGGGTACTTTTACAGAAGTAAGTGGTGTTACGCTGTAGCAATTGCAAAATGAGTTTCTTCATTTATTATACTTGCAGATGGTAAGTAAGTGTTTGTTTAAAGAGTATATATAGTAGTATGGATTGGAGTATAAATGAGTTTTATACTTGCTAATATTTTAACTTATTATTATTTATTATCATATCATTCTATCCTAAATTAGAATAAAAATAATAAATAATATGTATCAAAATATTATTACTTAGTAGATGTTAATATAAAGTTTCTTTATACGGACAATGCATATTGATTAATTTTTAAATCAGGCCCTAGTATGTCGGAGCGTTCACTGTTTAATTTGGTTTTGTTCTGAAAAGAAAAGTCAATTCAACCAAATCGATTGACTTTTGTATAGAAAATTGATAGATTTGCTTATAATTAATCAGGTTGGTAAGATTTGGTCTAATCAGTTTTTGATCGAACATTCTATTTCTTAAATAAATTCATTGAACTTTACTTTTTCCTTTTCATATGACCTAATTAATAATATATTTGCCTAATTTTTTTAATAAAGTATCATAAATGAAAATATAATTATCGATAAGATGAAATTTAAATTATTTATAAGTATGTCAGTTTTATATATATATTCCGTTTGGTTTTACAAATAAAAAAGGATGAAGAAGCCAAACTAATCAATTTTTACAAAAAGAAAACGAAAAACTAAAATTAATTTTGTTTGATTATGTTTGTTGGCAAATTTTTTAGTTTAGGTTTTCTGACCGACTTAATATATGTCTACATCTCTTACCAGCCCATGCTAATGTATAAATAGGCGTAAAACGAGTTGCCCTATGTTCAGGATATGAAGTGTTATTTTTTTGGTGAAGCGTAATGCTTTCATAAATCATAATACTTAAAATTTCTCCTAAGCGTTAGGGAGAGAGATTCGAATCTCATCAGTAGTTGCCCTATGTTTCTGTTTTGGTAGATAATTGCTTAAATTTTGTTAAAAATTCTTTCTTCTTCCAACATTTGGATCTTTCTATTCATTTTCTTTGTCTGTGAATCCTATTCCCTAAATTCTTTCCATTCCACCCAGAATCAATAATTTTTTTTTTTTTTTTATTCCAGATAGGCTAATTATTCTCAAAATAGCACTTCCTCCTCAAGAAAATTTTCGGTATCAATTTATATCTGAACCTTGGTAGTAAAAAAACGTAAGATGCAGTATTGTAGTATTTTATTTCATTCGAATGAACCTCGCCGTCCTCGCAAATCATAAGAATGTGGGTTTTTAAGACTACGCCTAGGAAACAAACTCTTTTGATAGGATCCAATCTAATAAGATCTCCATCTCCCCCTTTCATAATCAGACATGAAAGTTCCCTCTCATCCAGCTAAAATAGTTATCTTGCTTCTCTTAGTGCTCATCTTGCCTCTCCATCTCTTGCATTTCCAATGGTTCAGGGAAAATTTCATTGGATGATATTTTTTGAGAAAATGAGTGATCATTTCCACCACTACCTTGTGAACTTACTCTTCCTGATTGTCTAAAGCCACTCGCACCCTCTGTGTTTGTATGTACTGTGGCAGTAGCACTCTCTGATGAGCTCTGTCTCCAGCTACCCAAGAATGCAAAGCTCCAAGATCTCCTAGATGAAGTTGTTCTCAACCTGGCTGAGCTATAATTTTCTTCTCTGACAAGCTTCACTGGATTTTCCAATGCTTTGAGAACATACCTCATAGGAGGGCGTTTAGAAGGCTTGGGATTCAAGCATGACCTGGCTACAATTGCCATTGCCCATACCTCTTCCAATAAGTCATCATCTACTATCAAAGATGGGTCAACAATCCTAGTCACCTGTTCTTTGTCATATATACTGATGTAAGACAGGGTTTGTTCTAACCACTCTTTAGTGGCCGCATCATCTGATTTGCTGACACCAAGATTTCCTGTAATGAGCTCGAGTAAAACCTTCCCGAAACAGTAGACATCATAGGGACATGAATCAAGTGATGAACCTGTTTTGTTGCCACAGCAAGAAAAGAAACAATAATGTAATGAGTTCTGTTTTAACTTTTAACAATTTCTAACAATAGAAAGGTTTTATGCATGTCCTTTTTCCACACCAGTATATATAGCAGGGCCACTAACATAGTTCCACGGAACAAACAGTGTACTGCTGCACCTTAAATCTCTTCCATAAACTGGTTCATTATTCTCTGTCTAGAAATTTCTCGCCATTAATTGAATGGATACTTGGACCAAAAATTATATTAAAAAAAATGTAAAGATGCAGGTCATGTTCATATCAATCAACTGGTGAAATCCACTCAGAATATGAGAAACTTGATAGAAAAAATTAAAGACTACCTAGAAAGATGCAAACCAATTTACTCACCAGAATTGCCTTGATCCAAAGATCTGTACATCACCAAAAAAAAAAATAAAAAAAAAATAGTCACAACTTTAAATATAATTTGGAGAATAAGTTTAAATACATCAATCACTAAATTAAAAGCAGGCAGTGACAACTCGTTTGTTTGCACTTCATGGCACTTGATTATAAGAAGCATTCTATCAATAAGAATGCAATCTTATCTACATCAATCAATTAACTACAAGTAAGCCAATTTTCAGTAACTTAGGACTGAAATATATCATTAGTTCAATTAACATGCGCCAGCAAGTAACTGCTACATTGATTTGGACCAGTTGTTTGGCCAGTGTTTAAAACCATTTAAAGCTTCAATGTGTTTAATTTTTTTGGTAAACACTTCAATATGTTTATAAATCATCATAGCATATCTTCGCCTTTAATATTCATTATAAAATAGCTACGCAAAGAATGCAACACTCACGATGATTTGCGGAAAATCCTTGTGATGACACTCTGATGAAGATCTCCTTGGGCAGTAACCTCGCTCAAACTTCCAAGTCGCACTTCAAATTTATCATCAAGAAGTATGCTGCTTGCTTGGACATCTCTACAAAAATCAAAAGAAAAATTTCATTAACTTGCAGTAGTGCAAAAGTTCTTAAAGGCCTCCACAATGTCTCACTTTACACATTGTTGACAAAGAACTTATATTTGAGACAGCCTTAAATTCAATTCCATGACATAATCTTATTTTTCCAATCATCATGAGACAGCCTTAAAAATCTAAATTACGATTGGTAGTACCTGTGAACTAGGGGAGGGCTGCACTCATGTAGGTAAGATAGGCCTTCAGCAGCTCCTATTGCAATTTTCAATCTCGTGATCCAATCCATAGACTTAAATTTATCATCGGAACAGGTGACTCTGTGCAAGGAAGTAGCAAAATCTCCATTTGGCATATACTTATAAATTAAAAATTTCTCATGCTCATTCTCCAAGCAGTGCCCCAAGAGGGGGACCAATCTTGCATGTGAAACCTTGCTTAATAGTAGTCCTAATTCCACCATGTATGATTCTTTCTTAAATAAATTTAAATCTACCTTTTTTACAACCGCTGTTACACCACCTTCCAAGGTTCCCCAGAAGAGGTCTCCAGAATGACCGTGTTTGATTAAATTTTCTTCAGCAAAGTTAGCAGTCAAATGAAGCATTTGCTCATATGAAAATGATTCTCCCGTGCCAGCTACAAACACAGGGTCCTTTGGAGGTGTAGGATTTTCCACTTCTGGAACAGGTCCCACATTTGCTGTCCCCCTTTGAATTCCGATGCTATTATGACCACTACATTGTTTTAGAAGCAGCATGAGCATGAGGACCAATACCAGAAGCACAATAAAGCCAAGCCCACCAAATATACCTGCCAGTATGAATATCTCTCGTTTGTTGTTCCCGGACTCAGAATCTAGCAAGGGCGATTGCGTTGGTTCTTTGACACCGGGACTAAAGGGTAATGCTCTCTCAACATAAAACACTCTACAATCCTCTAAATCCCTCTGGTTTGGAATCATCCGTAGGCAATTTCTATCAAGAGTAAAACTAGTACTAAATTTAAAACGACCAACATGCACCTCGCCTTGGAAATAATTACCGGACAAATCAATTGTTTTAAATTTGCTAGGCATTGTAATCAGAGGTCCATAGAACAAATTGTTTGAGAGATTGAATGTGGCACCAGCATAATTAACATTGCTTGAACTAGTGAGTTTAGGCAAGGGTCCAGTGAGGGTGTTGTTGGATACATCGAGAAAGTGCAAGTTGGGCCCGGAAAACAACGTAGCAGGAAGAGCACCATCAAAGGCATTCTCACTGAGAATGAGCATTTGAATCTTGGAAAACAAAAGATCTGGCAATGACCCAGATAGAGAATTCTTGCTAAGATCAAGTTTAACCAAGTTGTAAAGGTTACCCAGTTGAGGAGGAACCGAAGCAGTGAGGCCATTATCTGAAAGATTCAAAATTTGGAGATTAGAAAGGGCACCCAGATGAGGTGGAATGGACCCAGATAAAAAATTGGAAGAAAGATCAAGCCTTGTGAGATTAACAAGAAAAGAGAAAGAGTTAGGCACTGGTCCTGTCAACGAATTGTTAGAGAGATCAAGAACCGATAGCCCAGACAACCTTCCAAGTTCCGAAGGCATTCTACCAGTGAGACTATTGTCTGAGAGAATCAGAGTTTTCAACCCATTCAAACCCCCAAGCGACCCAGGAATCGGACCGGTGAGCCAGCAAGACCGGAGATCAAGCTTTTCGAGTTTCCTAAGGCTCTGTCCCAACCACTCGTGAATAGACCCATTCAGAGAAAAACCGGAAGCGCAGAACGAACCCAATAGGGTCAGATTCGCAAGAGAATCCACTGCAAACCGTGTTTGGAGACGACCGGCTCGGGTTCGGCTTAAACCGGTCAAATTGATGCCCACAACTCGACCGTTCTCGCACTGAACTCCGGTCCAGTGAAAGCACGGTTCGGCTTTTTTGACCCAATCCTTCCCACTAATCCCCAACGATGAACGTAGTTCCAGCAAAGTCCGCCATTCGGTTCTTGAGCTCAAACCCAAACCCATTCTTCTGCCTAAACCAAACTGAACAAACAACAAGATTATAACGGCCTTGAGCAGTCCACGATTCAGTTCCATGAAGAAACTCGAGTTTATGTTTATGTTTATGTTTATGTTTATGTTCGTCTTCATGTTGCTCTTGTTTTGTGATGTTTCATCGTCCTTCCCCTGCCGAACAAAATGATAACGTTTGTTTGTGTATGCAGCATGCAACAGTTTCTAACTCTATTAATCGAATTGAGCATATTTGGCATAAACCTAGAAAAAATTAAATAAAATTAAATAATACAAAACATACTAATTTCTGTGCTTGCTATTGGTAAGTAAACTCAGAATTCTTACCTCCAATTAGAAGCTCTGGTTTTGAATTTGATGCTGCTCTTCACTGCTCCCTCTTCTAAATTCTAACCCAAATCAATAAAAAAATAAAATAAAAAAATGTATGTGACTGTTGTATACTATTTTTTACTTATAATATAAGAAAGACAACAATTGTCTTTGGAATAAAACCAAACATTAAATTGCCATCTGTACCTATAAAGAGAATTGGTAGGATTTTAAAGATGGGAGGAAGTACATTAATGAAAGAAGCGGGTTGTTTCACTGTTGCCCAACCGCCAGAGAGACTCTGCTAGTGCTACCTTGGTCTTGGTCACTTTCAAATTCACCGTAATTATTAATGAGCCTTTGAAGCATGCAGTGTGTGCGTTGGGTTTTGAGTTTTTTTATGAAAGTGGTGGGTGGAGCTAGTGGTGTTCAAAATGTTCAAAAAAATCAAATCCATCCATAACCAAATCGCTCCACATTCTAAAAACTGGTTATTTTTAAAAATCGGTTTCATATGAAACTGCATTTTATTTTATAAACTAGTTATTTACCAAACCATACAATAATTGGTTATCCATAACCAAACTATTTTACAATTAAAGAACAAATAAGTATTATCTTTTATACTTAACATTAAAATGTGAAAATTACATAAATATGAATCATTTTTAAATGTGACATTATTAGAGAAGTTTCAAATACTAACAGAATTTATCGAAGAAAAATATTTCGTCGAAAATTTTGACAAAAATCATATTACGTAAAAAATAGAGACGAAATTTTTTTTCGTCGAAACTAGAGACGGAACAAGATTTGTCATAATCATTGGCATAAATTTTTTAGAGACACAATATTTCAGTCAAAATTCTTGATAGAATCTAAATTCCGTCGAAACTTTCGACATAAACAATTCTGTCAAACTTTTCAACGAAAAATAATTCTGTAAAAAAATTTGAAGAAACACATTTCCATAAAAAAAATTGATAGGAAATATTTTCGTCCAAATTTTCAACGAAAAACATTTCCAGACAAATTTTCAACAAAACACATTTAGAACGAAAATTTTGACCAAAAATATTTACGTAAATAATTTTGACGAAAAATATTTCTGTAAAAAATTTCGACGAAATTTTTTTTTATCAAAATTCTTTACGGAATCTAAATTCCCTCCAATCATTTCCCTCAAATTTTTTGACGAAAAATAATTTTATAAAACATTTTGACGAAAAACATTTTTGTCAAAATTTTTATCGAAATATTGTTCGTCAAAATTTTTTACAAATTTTTTTCATAGAAATGTGTTCAGTTAAAAATTTTGATGGAAATATTTTTTATCAAAAAACTTGACGAAAATATTTTTTGTCGAAAATTTTCGATGGAAATGTATTTCGTTAAAAATTTCGATGGAATTTTTTTTGTCAAAAAGATTAACGAAAATGTTTCCGTAGAAAACTTTCGTCGAAATTTGAATTCTGTAAAGTATTTTGATGAAATGATTTTCCGTCAAAAGTTTTCGAAGGAAATGTGTTTCGTGGAAAATTTTGTTAGAAATATTTTTCGTCAAAATTTTTGATGAATATGTTTTTTTGTGAAATATTTTGAGGGAAATTTTTTGACGAAATTTATATTCCGTAAAAAAATTCGACAAAATTTTTTTTGAGGGAAATGTTTTCCGTAAAAATAACGTGAAACAATTTCTATAAGAATCATTTCGTCCTGGGAGTTCCAAAACAATGAAGATTCTTGCAAGAAATAGTTGGTCAACTACCTATAACTGGGAGAAACAAACGACTACTTATAAAAATAGCACAATCCATCAAAAATTGATTTTGAATTTGTTAAAAAACCGGTTTTGAACTTGATAACCGGTTTTTGGTTCATAACCGGTATTGATTTAAAACCGGTTTTGATTGATTTTAAATCAAAACCGGTTATGAACCATAAACCGGTTTTGAAATCGATTTCAAACCGGTTTGGATAATAAAAACTGGTTTTAAAAAAAAAATGGTTTGGTTTGAAAATCAAACCATTTCAAACCGGTTCGGTTTGGATTTTTCCAAAACCGGTTATGAACCGCTCCATGCACACCCCTAGGTGGAGTTATTTATGATAGTTTCGGCATTTGAGGTTCTTCTCTGAGTAATTGGGTTGTGTCTAACGCAAATGCCAATTCACCCTCTGGATTTGTAAAGGGTTTCAGTTCCACTCAGTTGAATGACTCAGTGAGGCAAAGGCTCTTAAAAACAAAAAATAAAAAATTCCAGTGAGACTTTAATGATCAATCAACTGTTTGCAAACAAAATAATTGTGTGGAAATATCATAGGATCAGACAATCTGGTTTTTTGACCCTTTTACCCTTCATTAATTAATTAATAACTATTTTGCCCCTCATTCAAAACTATCTACCAATCTGCCCCTCTTTAATTGATTAACTTGAAGATTTAATCAATTAAATGGTCAAAACTGACAAAAATGGTTGACTTGAAGATTTAATCGATTAAATTTTCAACTTAATCGATTAAATCTCCAAAATATATCTCCAAAAATGGTTCCCTTCATTCAACGCCACCGCCACTTAAATCAAAAGGGTTCGACCCCACCATCGTTGTTGCCAACTCTTACCTCATATCGCGATTCTGTTTGTTGCCATAGATTGTCTTACTTACATGGTTATTCAGATTTTCCCAACGCCAGAGCCTCTCACTCTCTCAACTTTGTCTTTGGCTGTCTCGTCTTGTTTGGTGGTGGCTGTGAAGGAGGTTAGTTTCTCTTTTCATCTTCTTTTCTTTGTTTCACATGGCTTTTGGTTTCCAACATGCAGTTATTATTAATATTAAATATCATCTTATGTGTTTTTGTTTGTCCCTTAATTTTGATGGAATGGTGGATGATTTTCTTCAGTCTGCGGAACCTTTTGGACTCAAGTTTGATGGGGAGCTCTTTCTTGTGGAGCTTGTGCTTCAGCTCTAAAGGACTAAGGAGTAGTGGTGTTAACGGGCCGAGCCGAGCTTTGATCTTAACGGGCCAAGCCTGTATTTAAACGTGTCAGACTGGCCTTAGCCTGTTACCTGTTACGAATATAATATTAGTCTGTGGCCTGGTTCGTTTACAAAAAATAAAAGTTTGTCTCAAGCCTGTGGCCTGTTTATTTATTAAAAATAAAAACCTTACCTTCCAATTTGTAGCAGTATTTAGCCCATTAATCATGCACTAGTATATATTTTTTTGTAAGAAAATAATAACAACAACACTTTTACTTTATTTTACGTTGCTTTTCCTTAATTTTCTTCCACATTCTAAATTTTTTACATTAAATTTTCTTCCACATTCCTTATTATTCTAGATTTTTTACACTAGATTTGAACCCCTCCAATAAATTTTCTTCCACATTTTACATTAAATTTTCAAGTCAGTCATTTTTGTCAGTTTTGACCATTTAATCGATTAAATCTTCAAGTTAATCGATTAAAGAGGGACAGATTGGTAGATAGTTTTGAATGAGAGACAAAATGGTTATTAATTAATTAATAAAGGATAAAATGGTCAAAAACTCCAGACAATCTGCTCAACTTTGCCTTTTTTCTTTTGTACGCTTCAGAGTAGAAAGTTATGAATCAGCTCACCACAAAACTTTGTGCCCGTTTATTTCTTTCAAAGTTAACTACCATCCTTTCATAAAAAAACAAAAATATAAAAAGGCAACCTGAGGACTGGTCCTACTTCTATATTTCCATGTCTGTCTTTCATTTATTTTTTGGTACATATTTATATCTTTCATTTATTTTTTGGTACATATTTATATCTTTCATTTCAAGTTTCATTTCCACACTTCCTATTGAAATGTTATTTATTATTGTTATTATTTTTCGAATGTTTCACTTATTCACTCAATGACATCGTTTACAAATTTAATTATATTTATCAATATTTTGTTTTATTATAAGTAAAGAACATGGATCCAGATATAAGTAAAGAACATGGATCCAAAAGCAATGAACACCTTAAGGATCCATATTAGACTCTCATGACTAGCAATCAGGATCACAAGAACAAAAGAATTTCTAGTGTAGCTAAAAATACCAAGATATAAATAACAAAAACTATACATAGCTAACATAATTACGGTTCAAGCCAAACCTATATCTCTGAACTTTTTATGTTCTTCCTACAACTAGCCACATCACAAAACTCTCTCAAGTTTGCAGGAGAGAAACAGAAGGACTAGGATAAGCAGAAGCCTTTCTGGGAGCATCTGCACTACCTTTGTCAGCTATAGGGCGGCCAATGGGATGGCCGAGTACAGAACTGCTTTCACGATGCTCTTTCTGAACACCATTTTTTGTCTGCACGTCCTTTGATTCCTGAAGCAGCTCCAATGTTCTTACCACTTCATCCATATTTGGCCTCCTTTTAGGTTCTGCAGCAACACATTGCAAAGCAAGTGTGGCTGCTGCTTGAGCTCGAGTATGGGAATATTGTCCCTCAAGACGCAGATCCATTACTCGAAAAACTCAGCATTTGTTAGATAGGTAAGGTTTGGCCCATTCAACTAGGTTATGTTCTCCACGTGGTTGGTTCTTGTCTATAGCTCGTCTTCCTGATATTATTTCGAGAAGAACTACTCCGAAACTATATACATCACTCTTTGCAGTGAGATGACCTAGTGAAACAAAAAAAATTCCAGTTATGAAAATATAACAGACATCACTTCCTTGTTTGCATATTAATATGTAAAACTAAAAGCTGCTGA